GTTATGGTGAGGCTGACAGGTGGTACCTGGTGAGGTGCTCTAACCCTTGTGTGGATGTGCCTCAGAGACAGCTCTGGCAAAGGGCTCGTGAAATGAGAAAATACGTGAGTCAGTATTTGCTCTTGTGGAATTGCAGTCATTGGACCTGACTCATGTGTATCCATCCATTTCTCATTAAAATGCTGTGCTTGCCGTTGGCATTTTGAGGGCACAAATTGCCTGTGTCATTTTGTGGGTTTAGTACCTTGAACCTGAAACTTTATGCCTTTGCCTTGAGGGGTTTGTCTAGCCTAGACTTTTTCTTTACTACATTGTTCTGTTTTCTGTGTTCCCTACCCTGAAGAACTGGAAGGGAAAAATTAATAACAGGCTAAAGCTGGGAGCATTTCCCCTTTAATCAAGTGGTAGAACATCCTGGGTCAAACAGACTTTCTTAAATTACCTGGTTTCTGATATTTTAATTAATGTTAGTATTTTTCCCACCACGTTTATACTGCCTTGAGGGAACGCTTTTTTCCCTGCCTTTCCTATGTGGCATGCCACAAAGATTCCTCTACAATTAACCCAGCAAAAGTAAGAAAACAGATAGCAAAGGTTTAAAGTTGGAAAGGTGTTCTCAAACTTCTCTCAATTAGTATAATATGCAAGTATAATAACGTTAAAATGTCTTTAAGCTTCTCACATTAGAGTTTTAATGACAGTGCTGAATTGCTGTGCCAACGAGGAATATTTAAAAAAAAAAGAAAAACAAAGAAAACAAAGGAAAAAAAGCTGGATATGCTTCTAAGATCATAATGGAGAATAGAGAAACAGTAAGCAAATCATTATCTTTCAATTCAGACACTAAGAATCTGATGTATTATTACTGGGCAACTTATTGGGTTCCAAATGTCCAAAATTCACCTCTGTTATTTTTATTTTTTTAATTTATTTGAAGTCCTTCAGCCTTTTGGTAAGAGAGCCTGAAGTTCTCATTGCCTTCTCAATGCCCATATTTCAGTGTTTGAACATTAAAACAATGAAGTTGTTCTCTGTCTTCACCAATGTTATTCACTATTATCTCAGCTGCTTTTAATTTCACTTCATCTGAATTATTAGTTGCTGTGTACTCTGAGCAGTCTCAGAAGATACAAGTGAGAAAATTATGCCAATAAATAGTATGCTGGGTTTCAAGCATGCATTTATTGTTATGATCTATTCTGCTTTAATAACTTTTTTTTTATTTATTGAGACATTTTTATAAGTCACATTGGAGATAAGAATGAGAAATCATTTTTATGAGTTAATGTAAGTGTGTTTCGGAAACTTTTCTTGCACCAATCTTTGCAAAGTTTGATTGGGTTTTGGTAATTAGTAAATCTTCAGTGATTCATGGCTTGTCTTAGTGATGGAGGATTTGTAAGAGTGAGACCAACTCACTGAAACATTACATTTTAATCAAATTATTAACATACTTCTCAATCTCAAGCGTGGTATCATAAAAAATAAAATTATGAAGCAGAACTCCAAGTGCAACTTAAGCAGAACATTGACTCAGAGGGAACAGTGATGCAGCAAATGCACCAACTGTATTTCTTCAAAGAAGAGCAGAATACTCTTCCCTAGGTGGGAAGGAGGCATCGTGCCCTTCTCTGACACTTACTGCTTATTTCATATTCAAATAGCAAACTGTTGGCATCTGGAGTCACTTAAAAAAGCACCTGGATTGAAACACCTGTTTTCTAATAAAACCAACTAATTCAAACATTGTTCATACCCCAACTGAAAGCAGTCATTTTAAAGTGATGCTGTTTATGCCAGTTCTGCCAGTTTAGGATAATATTGAAAGGTCCCGTCAAAATTACATTCATAAGAATTAAGTTTTAACTCCTCCCTTTACAGTAGGTAACTCATTTCTCCCATGGTACCTTTGCAGGATTCGGAGATGCACAGAAATGAAAACCAGTGTTTTCAAGCTCAAATGCCTAAATACAAATGTTCCTACATGTGAGAATGTAGGTTTAAGGGTGTTGAACAAGTCTTGTCCCCTGTCTCTGTGCAGAGGCATAGGCCAGCTTTCCAGTCTTCTTCTTTCTCATCTCCTCTCACCTCTGTTTTCCTTCTCTCTTGAGGCTCTGCAGCATGTCTGGAATTTTAGTAAAGCAGCCCTTTATTAAAATGCCCAAGCATCTTGACTGACTACTATAAATGACTAGAGTTACAAATCCAACAAGGAATACACATTTTGTGTGTGTGTGTTCTGGTTTTTAGCATTTTGTAGGCATTTTGACTGATAAAATCTTTTTGGTACCTATTCTGTGTACTAGATGTTAAGTTCTTGAATCGTAGTAAGAGCTGAAGTAACCACAAGAAATACTGTATGGCTTCTGAGGATTAATAGTCAAAAGAATCAAAAATATTTTATTCCTTTCTTTGAAAGTGAAATGGAAAACTTCACCTGCTTTTCTAGCTTTCCCTTAGGGACTATGCTAATTCTAACCTGGATTGTCACTAAGGGTCGCAGTTGTCTCCAGGGTCTGCTTTCTTCTCCTTGACAGTCCAACAACAATAATATTTTCTTTTTATTTGCGTGAATATCTGTTTTTTTAAGGACAGTCTATGTTCTTTCACATTCTCTTTCTGGACACACAAAGTGAAGTATGATGGAGCAGAAACTTGTTACTTATTTTATTGCTGGATTTTCCCTTTATGCCTGGATGGTACCTGAACATTTTTTTCCCATTCTGTCTAATCAGCTTAGTTCCCTCTTAAAAAAAGCATTTCCTAAGCATTTAGGAAGGATAACAGAGCAGAGGAAGTGGTGCAGGTGAGGCAGATGGTGTGTTGTGAAACTGAAAAAGGGGCCATTAATGAAGAGAGGTATCAATCTGTTCAGTGGGATTTCTCACCCCAGAAGCCAAAGGGAACTGTTACAGTGCTCCACACTTCCCATGAACATGGAGTTAAATCTTTAAGGGATCTTTCTTTTAATGGGGCCCTATGAGTATCTGAGGTGAAATGTCCCATGCTAAAATCACTTGAAAAACTCTTCTTAACATTTCAGTAGGATCAGATTCATGCTTTGATTGTCAGAAGCTCCTGATGTGTGGTGCTTCACTCGTGCATCCTTTTAGATACATAAACTGCTGTTTGTTGTTGCTGTAGTATGTCAGTGGACTTCACAAAACATGAGTTCTCACAGCACATTTGTGGCACTACCAGTTACCACAGGTTTCAAAAATAAAGCTGGGAAATCTGTGGCAAGGACAGACCATCAGGTCTACAAATAATTACATGAGAAAATACTGCCTTTGGGTCATAGTGAATAGGAGGTGTGGGCTGGATTCATGTCTCCAGTCCAGAGATCTGTTTTTCCTCCAGAATTTGGCTGTTGACAAACATAAACAGCGTTTTTGGGGGGGGAATAGCCTAAAAATAAAGGAAAAACTACACTGAAAATTACTGTTTGACTTCATCATGTGCCATGAATATGTGGATCTTTTATTTAAAAAAATCTGATGTCTTTTATTTCTAGAACATTTTTATCCATATCCTTTTATTAAGGAGCAGTCCCTCTGTGACAAACAGTAGTTGGTCTGTTCTGCCATTTCTTAATGGCAGAAAGTTGATCCAAACAACTTCAAATTCATGATACCAGCACGTTTATTTAAATATTTTGGAGACATATAAATGACAAGGTCAGTCTGACAGTTCTGCAAGGGTACTGCTTTTGATTGATTCTCTGAAAAGTTTCTGATGGCATGGTTGCAAACTCTCAGGTAAACTGTTCTTTTAAATAAGTTTTTCTTAGTTGCCAGGAAAGATGTCTTGTGAATCTGAAAGCTAAAGGCCTTAAGTTCAGCTTAATATTTACAGAACTGGTTGCACACAGGCAGTGGTAGCATAGAGCTCCCTGTGCTCTATCATTGCTGTGTGTGGCAAATGGCCTTGAGGCATAGTTAGAAAGAAAAAGGTCAGACTTGTTCGTGACCCTTCTCTGGGAGCGAGCAGAGACGTGTCATTTATCAAGGAGGCTGTGGATGTGCATGGAAGTGGTTGGGAAGGAGCCTGCAGTGTCCCAGACCAAACTGGAGACCATTTACAAACTCACTGCCTGGCTGGGATTTTAAGTGAGAGACAGATTATTTTATTCCTGAACTTGTCTCAATACAGTTTATCAGAAGACCATGTATAAATACATTGCCTGATATATATATATATGTTTATATTTGCCTAAAAATCCACTAACTATTCAGAAATAAAAGGCTGCACTTATTCATACATTTTTTCATGTGGTTTGAGGCTGAAGCTATGCCAGCTCAGGGTTTTTAAAAGTGGTTACCCAGCAGTTCTGAAGGTGCTGTGCTTCCAACCAACTTCAGTAGCAGCTGCTGTATCCGTTTGTGGGTTGGGACGTTCTGGCCTTGTTTGGGCTAAGGAAGGCAGCTGAGGTTGTGCTGTGCTATACTGGAAAAGCTGGAGCTGAACTCCAGTGCTGTTTGCTAAAGTAACAGCAGGGGAATGCCAAGAGCTGCATTAAAGCAGGTGACATTGCCATGCTCATGGTGCTGCTCTGCCTTCCCCAGCCAAGTTACTGTTTGGGAACCCTGCCTGTTTCATGTCACAATGTGTTAATCATCATCTTGTGACCATGCAGAAAACCTGAGTAGAGCAAATCTTTAAGGTTCCAGAATCGAGGCAAATGTTGGGAACTCTGTGTCTTTGTTTTTGAAGATATTTCTCTCTCGGGGGAACCCAGTTTATCAAAACTACATGTGTTAGACCGAGGTAGGAAATTATTGTAGCTCTGCATTCATCACTGCTGACTCAGCTGTAGTGCATAACCTTATATTGACAAAGACTGAGCCCAAACAGAGGGACTACAGTGTTCAGAGTTGGGAAATGGACTTAAAGAGAAAGAGAAAAGACAAAGAAAAGAGAACTAACATGTGACAAATTTACAAAGAAGAAAGAATCTTAAGTCCTGTCAGCCTTTTCTTATTTTCTCTTGAAGAATGAAAATGGCTCTTGTAATAACAAGGAAAAGTAATATTTAAAGCTGTTCCTAAAATATATTTCAGAGCAATTCATCACCTACTGCAAAATGCCATTGAGGACAAGGACACAGCAGGGTTCAGGATGGCTCCAGGAGGCACAATAGATGTTACTTGGCCAACCAGACTTCTCCCTACAATTCAATCTTTTCCTGACAGTGGTCACCCAAGGAAAAAAGGTGAACAAAACCTCATTTTTAATTTCACATTATAGTGCTTTTAGTTTTTGACGTTCTAATGTTTTTAGAGGGTTTTTTTTGTAGTGTGCCACTTGGTTGGGTTTTGTCTGCCAAGAATGCTGTGCAGTTCAGTGCTAAGTCAAGGAAAATACACATAGAGTACTGTCCTTAACTCATATAAAGAAGTCTCTCTTTGAAACAAATACATGTTTTCCAGTGAGAAGCTGTGCAGGTTGAAATAGAGTGAATAATGCCCATGACAGTAGCATTTCATAAACATTGCAATTAGCTTGTTTTTTAGTCGGGGTTTGGTTTGATTTGGTGTTTTTTGTGAGTTTGGGTTTTTTTTCCAATAGACAACATTGTTCCATCTATCTTTCTCAACATAGCTGTTTTTACAGTTCAGTACACTTGAGCAAACTGGTGCAATTTTCTTCTGTAAATGCCATTTCTGCTACAAACATTGGCCATTCATGTGTTTTGGGTCCAAAGAGGGCTTTCATTTAATGCCCAGAACTGCGTCCTTGGATTTTCTTGCATGAATCGACTCAAGTTATTGTGTCCCTCTTTCACTCCTCTGAAAGGGTTAAGCTGTGTGAATCAGTAACAGTAGAATATTGAGTATTTCTGGATGACTTGTACTACAGAAGTTCTACAGAACGAGCCACCTGACCACTGTTCATCATGAAATTCCTATATTTATAAATTCATAAATTCTAGTGTAACATTGCAGCAGAGACTGTATCTATAGACACTGTTTGTGTCAGTGTCAGGACTCTTTCATGGGATGGGATCATGGTGTGCTTTGAGTTTTGCCCCTCTTTTGCAGGTCTCTCTAACTTAAAGATTCCTCTTTTTTTCCAGCAATTGAGGCTGGTTATTACTTGTGCCCAGTATGTAATGTCACACTTCCATAGAAATGTACCAGTCTCACATGAAAGGAAATAAGCACAGGATTAAGTTAGTCCAAAAGTCTTTTGTTGCTATTCTTCTGTAGTTTGTACTTTCAGACTTTTTCATGAGCCCTGTTGTCTGCTAAGTGACTTTAGCCAGTTCAGGGGTTTTTTTTGGTTTTGGTTTGGGGCTGGGGTTTTTTTTGTTGTTTGGTTTACTGGTTTTAAGAGGCACTGACCACTTAAACCTCATGCTGTGACTGAGATTCAGTCCTAGAGTTCCCATAGTTGTATCTTCAATGACAACCCCAGGAAAGGTCCTTAAACCTTTGCAGTTTTCCCACTTATTTTGCTCTCTGGGGGTAGCAGCACCCAGTCCATCTTTAGTGCTCAGCTGAGAAGGAAATGGTCTGAACCTAAAGATTCCTATTGACAAGGCAAAGACGACCTTAATCCCCAAAAGTGCCAAGTCTGCATCAATTTTGTTGCTTTCATGATTCATCAGCTTGCATCTTACATTTGACTTAAGATATTTGTGCGATAGGTGATAGCTCTTGTACTTTCCCTTTTACCCAGGAGAGGGCTGCAGACTGCTGATTGCAGAATGGATTTGGTGGTGATTTCAGGTGTACTTCCCAGAGAGTGCTGTGCAAGAAGGCTAAACATCAAATTTGCCCACACGTTAAGCATTTTGGTAAGACATTTTATAGAATTATTTAGGTGGGAAAAAACCTCTAAGATCAAGTCTGACCACTGAAAAATTTTAAGAGAATCCACAGTAATAATATAACCACAAGAGACTAATGTAGAACTGATATGGTTTTAAATGTTTGTTTAGTGAACAGAATTAGAATTCCCCAAAACAGGAGTGCAGGAAACTTCTATGGGCCTATCTACAGTTTAAAAAAATCAATGTATAAAGGTGATGAATTAAGGAAGAACAGGATACATTTAAGGGATGGGTCTTTGGAGCTGACCTTTCCACAGGGGACATCTTTGCCTTCTAAACACTTTATCTTTCAGCCTGAGGAAAGGAGAGTAGAATCAAAACTGACAGGGAGTTTTGCCATGGGAGCGCATTTATCTCGTTTGGGTTTTTAGCAATCCAGGTTGGTTGCTTCTGTTCTGTTTCTGCTGTGGAGTCTCACAGTTTGCCTGAAGTTACTGTACTGCAGCTGTTCAGTAGAATGAATCTCAAAGAAATTAGTAATTGTATTATTTGATAGTCAGTAGATAATGTAATTTCTTTTTATCTGCAGCTAACTGGGGACCAGTTAATCAGAGTGCTTTCACAAAGAGTGGATTCTGTGCCCTATAACTGCAGCTTTACAGATATAATCATGTGTAACAGGGTCTGTGCAGTTACATGGAACAACACACCTGCAATGTGCTTTTTCCTAATTCTGAAAGTACTACTTTTTTTTTTTTAACTCAAGAGATGCTAAGCAAATTGGTCAGTATTAGTGACTAACTTTCCACCCAATTTATGCAGACAAACAGCACTTGTCCATCTCACAGAGAAATCAAATGCTCCTTTCAAGATGAATTAACAGATTGTGTTGAAGTTCAGAAAAGGACAGATCTAGACCCAAGAAGGGATTAAGGAAAAGAAAAAGAGGAAGAGTTTCAAGATAAAAACATTGAAGGAGGAAGGGACCTTGGTGAGGTCCTATCTTCAAACTTGAGGTGTGAACAAGGGGAGCATTCCAGCCTTTTCTCAAAAAACCAGTCTCCTACAAATACTAGGGAAAAGAGATTGCCAAGCTGGCCATCAGCTTGTGAGCATGCACTAGAAAAGACACCTAATTGTCTCTCTAACAAAGATACTGGAAGGAAGAGCAAATATCCAAGGTGGCCACCATCAGAGATAAGAGCTCCAGCCATTCAGAATCTAAAGGCAACTACAGACTTGTGCTTGCTGAAACTTCTACCAGCTCCTACAGAAACGAACAGGAATCTCAGATAAAACATTTCAAAGAAGAACACATCAGTGAAGAGCCGGAGTACAAAAAAGAAGCCACAAAGCAGAAAAGAAAGAAAAATAAGTGAAGGTGCAGATTGTGGAAAAGAAAACGAGAATAAAAAGATAATTAAATTTAAGCTAGACTTGGTAAATGAAAAGAAGTCAAGAACTTCTAAAGGCAAAACACTTAAGGAGAACCCCCTAGAGAAAGAAAGCAAAGAGGATAATAAGAAGCCTCAGGCAAATATCAAAACAGAAGAGGAGCTACCCTGGGATGAGTCTGTCTTTGAATATTGATAAAGGTTTTGCTTATCTTTAAGAAATTGATTCTGTTTGTAGACTCACTTCACTGGTTTGTACCATATTATGACTTCTTCTGTTTTAAGCAAAGGTTTTGTTCCAATCTGGAAGCAAGAAAAGACCTGTCTGCAGAAATTTTTTAGCAGTAGATTGGCAACACTTTTCAATCATCTTTCTTACACATGCAGCAGCCACTGCAGTTAGTGTGAAAGTCTGTGATATAGACTGGAATATTCTCTTCTGGAATATACCACAAGTATGGGTCAGTAGCTTACTGATACTAATAAATTTTCACCAAAAATACTGATACTAATAAAATTTCACCAAAATGCATAGCTTCTTTCTAATATCAATGATGCCCACTATTGACATTTCTGTTATTCTTCTGGGGAAATACATAAACACTACAGTGTTCCCAGACTTGTTAGATTTAAGTGGAGGCTTTTGATTCCAGATGTTATTTGCTGTTGGGGGTTTGGTTTGGTTTTTTGTTTACCTGGTTGTAAGTGGAAAATGAGTCCATTAAATGGACCAATTAAGTGGAAATGGTTGTAAGATATCCATTGTCTAGTAGATTTTTTTTCTCATGGCAATCCTGATTTTTAATTTTATTCAGGAATCACAGAGAAGGTGCAATATACAAAATGAATTATTAACATGAGGCTACATTCTGCTTCATTCCCTCAAAGTAATGTACAGGAGGAATGCTGGAATGAAGCTAGATTTGTGATTCAGAAAATACCCTGAAAGATCCAGGCAGGGGGATGAAAGGAATGAGAGCAGCCTTGCCAAGGACTTGGTGCTGGGGGATGAGATGCTGAGCATGAGCCAGCAATGTGCACTTGCAGCCCAGAAAGACAATTGTGTCCTGGGCTGCATCCAAAGCAGTGTGGGCAGAGGGTTAAGGGAGGTGATTCTGCCCCTCTGTTCTGCTCTGCTCTGGTGAGAGACCTCACCTGCTGTGCTGCCTCCAGCTCTGGGATCTCCAACATCAGAAGGACATGGACCTGTTGAAACAAGTCCAGAGGAGGCCACAAAGATGCTCAGAGAGCTGGAGCCCCTCTGCTCTGGAGTCAGGCTGAGAGAGCTGGGGTTGTTCAGCCTGGAAAAAACTCAGGTGGACCTTTTAGCACCTTCCAGTACCCACAGGGGCTACAAGAGAGCTGGAGAGGGACTTCTGACAAAGTCACGGAGTGATAGGACAAGTGGAAATGGCTTTAAAAAAGAGGGCAGATTTGGATTAGATATTAGGAAGAAATTCTTCACTGTGAGGGTGGTGAGACACTGGCAGAGGTTGCCCAGAGAAGCTGTGGGTACCCCCACTCTGAAAGTGTTCAAGGCCAGGTTGGATGGAGCTTTGAGCAACCTGGTGTAATGCAGATAATCTTTAAAATTCCCTTCCAACCCAAACGATTCTATAATTCCATAATGGGTTCAAGCTCTTGTGCTGCTCCCAGGACTCGAGGGTGAGCATGGACATGGGAAACACATCAGTCTCTACAGGGCCTGTGGCAGGCAGAGAAAGGCAAGAGAAAGAGGGGAATTGCTTTGTCAGCCTGCACTGTGCAGAGCTGGGGTTGTGAGAGGATCTGAAGCCTGTGTGATGTACTGAAAACTGCTGGACTGAGTAAATGCATTAAAGTTCTGAAAAGTGATAATTTAAAAGCAATTTCATAAGACCCTGTTCAGTGTCTCTCCTCTTGCCTTCAGGTTGCAAGAAAGCTCCTCCGAGCCTTGATGTGGGATCTGAAAGCCATCACACTGTTGGTTTGCACCACTGTGACCGTGCTTTCCCCAGGGTTAGTCTGTTTGTAGAGGCACCTGTGCTGAGCTGCTGTGCTCAGTAAATCTTCCCAACTGAAACTTTCTGTTGTGGGCTGTTGTGGTGTGGGATGGAGCAGAGACCACGGTCCTCAAAACCTTGAATTTTCTCTGATTTGTCTTAGATTTAGTTTTGTGATTATAAGAAGTAGGTTGGAAAACCCTGAAAAATAATGTTATCTGCTTTTTTTTTAAAAGAATTTGTATTTTGTGGTTGATTGCAATTTTGGATTTAGATTTTCCCTGCTGCTGCTAAATTATACATCTGAGTAGTCAGCATCTGAGCTGTCAAGTAACTTAGTCCATCCTCTAGCAGACAAACTTAACAACTAAACAAAGCTTAGCAGGGACATGTAGGTGCCACTAACAGTTCATTGGATGGGAGCCCTGGGAACCTGAACCCTGAGGTCCACAGGGATTCAGTTTTAAGTTCAAAGTATGCACGGGGTTCTTGTTCTGGTCACCTTTCCTAATCTCTCCTGGTCTTTGTTTGAGGCTGAAAATGCCTCTGCTTTCTTCAGCGGCTGTTGTTCCTCGCTAAGATCTGATCTTTCCAAGGACACTTTCCCTGGCTTTCCTTAGCTCTTGCTTGTCTGTCGAGGGAGTCTAAAGTCACAAGTTAATAACTGCTTTTCTCATTATTTACTTGTGCAGAGAGTGAGTTCAATCATAATTTACTTGCACTGACTGTTGGTGACAGCTGTGAGCTGTTGTAAGCTGCCAACTGCTGCCTGTATTATCCTGTGGTGTTACTGAGGAGGTTTTCAAGTGCTCTTTGCTATAGGGATAAGCTGGACCACACTCCAGCTTGTCTCACATGTAAGACAAATACTGACTGTATCCTCTCTCAGGACACCAAGTTTTGCAAACTACACATTGTAAGGTCTCTCTGATATTTATGCCACTCTGTCACATAGGGCTGTGCAAATTTGGCCAGTGTCTTTCACAGTTATTAGTAGGGCACCCTTGCTCCATATGGTCCCATAGGCCATGTGGCCACAACAAAACTTAGACTAAGAAATGTTTCCAGCAGACAAAAAGGCCACAAGGTAGTACTCTGCTTCTACACCATGAACATACTAATTGAAGGGGAATAAGTGCAAATTTACTTGCTTTGAAACAGGATTTGCACTTTCGGAAGTCAGGAGGAGGAGATTAAGATCCCTGAAAATATGAAAAAAGCATGATTTGGCAGAACAAGGAAATGGTTTTGGTATGTTCAGTGATCATTCCCAAATCCGTACATGAACTCCACACCCTCCTTGCTCACCCTCTGGAAAGTGGCTGCACAAACTGTGCAGAATTAACTGTAAACAAAGTTTCTTGGTGACATGAAAGATAAGGTCCCAAAAGAAATGTTCTTGCCACATTTCCCTTAAAAAATGAGTAATCTACGATGTAAATGCTGCAAATGAGACATAGCAGATTCTCATCTGGCAGAAGTGACTTACAGCTCTAATTTAGGAAAGTGATAACCAGTTTTCTAAGGTCATAAATAATGGTTATTGTTCATGTGTTTCCTCATCTCCCTGTTCCTATTCTTTCACATTTGTACCAGCAAGTATCTCTGTGCTAGACATTTTAAAGTACTAGGCAGAGAGATTGATTACTTTATTTACCCTTCGCTTAAACACATCTTTTTTCACTTCTTAGACGCAAAGGAATCCACACTGTCTGTAATGAAAGCTAATTCTGTTCATCTCTTCCTCCCATTAAAGGTACCAAAGCATTAGAATTCTGACTGGAGAAACAAATGGAGCCACAGATCTTTGTCACATCTGAGCAGAAAGCCTTGCAGATGTGCCTGGAGAGCCCTTGGAGCCAACAGCGTCCTATGCAGGTACAAGGGTTCCTCTGTGAAGGCTCAGCAGCACTAAATTTGATCTGTCTCCTTGTTTGGTAAACTTGTGTGCTGCTTGGCTTTCTGAAAGAACTGCTGTACAACAAAAAGGCAAGGTAGAACTGTGTACATGTAGCAGAGCACAAAACCAAGGTTAAAGCTGCTGTTTAAAACTGAGCTTGAATGAAGACTCCTGCATTTCAATTCTGTCTCTGTCCCTGGTTCACCAGGCCACCTGGGATCAAGTAACTATTTCTTGCAAGGCCTCTTGTTTCAGCTACAAATGGTGCAGAAGGGGATTCTGGCAGTTTTTCCTGTCTATGCTGTGCCCCTGAAGCAGACTGCTACTGCTGCCAGCTTCCCTCCTTTCTCCTGGAGGTTACCATTCCTGGGACATCCTTATGTCCCTGTGTTATCACTCACAGGCAGACAAATCAGTTCAAACTCCCCAGGACAGTTGACATTAGAGGGAGGTGAGACCACTCTTCTGAGGGAGCAGGAAAAACAGGAAATGCCTAAAAGCATTGAAATTGCTTGTTCAATTAACACAATGGAGCCCAGATACTCATCACTGAACAGAGCTGTGACATTCACTGTCCTATGAAGAGTGACATGAATGTGTTAATCTGCAAAATAGTGTCACTTTTTTATAGTTGTTTCCCTTTTTATAACTTTTTATACTTTGGTTTCAGACGGGCTGCAGTATGTGAAAAATCTGTAGTGAGATCCTCGTGCAAGGTCTGTCTGAAAGAGGCCACAACTGAAACAGGACATCTCTGAGTCATGTGAGGTGAGCAAAAAGTTCTTTCCACAGTGAAAAGTTCTAATCTGAAATCTTGTGAAGAAAGGGAGAACTTGAAGTCACCTATTGTGCCCTGAACTCAGGCTGTGGTTTCAGAGGCACACGGGGAACATCAGCACCTGCCAAGTTGACCCCACTGTTGGCTGATGAGCCACGTCCTTGTCACATCCACCCTCCCAACTTGACCGAGTGTGTTTCTGTAAAGACTGAGAGACATCCAACCAAAATCAGTGTAAATCACCCAAATACAACACAAATGTACCATGTATCTGTGGCGTCAGATCATGGTGTAAAACAGTTGTTTGAGTGAGTTAAAGAACCGTGACAGTTTAAATAAATTAAAGGGTTTTTTCAGCACTGCCATCCCACAGCATGGAAGCTGACAGTGTTTTTAATGGCTGTGTTTATCTGCCAGGACACCAAGATGAAAACACCAGGGTGAGGACTGGGAGATCTGGATTCTCTTTCCAGCCTTTCCACAAGCTTCTCCTGTGATTTACAACTTGCCACGAATGCAGTGCCAGATGAGCCCTT